CTAGGGCCTCCTCCATCCTCCTCCATCACCGCAGGATGGCGCCCTTCCTTACTGAAGAGGGAACAATGTGGTCTAGACATTGGGCTTGTACGGTCTGTCCCAACTGATGACTCTGGTTTTAACTCAGGCTGACCCCAAGTCCTCAGCTACAGGGACCCTGCTGGGACCACTCTGGTGGAGGTGGGCAGCACAGTTCTCAACTCTGCCATCCATGGGGTTACTAGGAGTGACTGTGGTCTCAGTAGCAACTGGTTGGCTTGTTTGTTGAACTGCCCAACACAAGTCCCCATGCCTGGCCATGCAGACTGAGCCCCCTGCCAGGCTCACCACTCTGACCCCAGCCAGGTGTGTGGGGCTTCAGCCCGAGCAGCAGGACAGGCCCTCCATGGGGGAGCTGCTCCCCTTTCTATCCACCGGCCAGCTCTTCCTCCTTCTCTGATCACATGGGGCCCTCTGCCCCTGAAGTCCACGGCCATGCTGTGGCCTTTAATCACTGGACCGCACAGTTCTTCTACTCCTGCGAATTCTTGAACCTCCTGTGTCTAATGAAAACATGTGGCCCTGCCCTCGGTGGGTGGCCCTGAGCTGCTGTTGAATGACACAGCTGTGCACAGTGGCCCCAGGATGAAATGCTACCCTAGTGGCTTAGAGCGCACACTTGGGTTCCAGAGGGTTTTCATTGGCTGATCATCAGATATCAATCACTAGGCTTTGCTTCCTAGTCTCTTGAGCTGGAAACTCCACTGAGACCTACCCAGCATCCTAGTCATTTGCAAGCCTCCACCATGCACCCAGTGCGTGGGCTGGGAATTGAACCAGGGTATCCTGCATGGAAGGCAAGAATTCTACCACAGGACTACCACTGTGTCACCTACCTCCTCTGCTTCCTAGGAGGTCAAGAGGGGCATGAGGGATGGGTGAGGCCTCCAGGTGGGAAAGTCAAGGGCAGATCCATGACCAGAGAGGAAGGGGTCCCAGGTTGAGAAAACTCGTTTTTATCCAGGGGACCTGGTTGCCTCTCAGCTTAGATTCCCCGAGACAGCTAAGCCCTGGCCACAGTGACCAAAGTCACACAGCTGAGGGGCTTTCAGCCTGGAGGCCCCACAGGTCTTTGGCAAAGGGCTAGGTCGTTTTATGGGGAGGAATTGAGCTGAATCATGCACCCAGGTGCTGCAGTGGAAATAGCTGTGCTTGGGGCTCTCAGCATTGGCTCCAGAGGATGGAGTGGCACTGGGCTGGCTGACAGCCTTTGGGAGCCATCCTTGGAAGAAGGACCCACAGTCCCCACCTCACAGAGCCACTTGGCACCTTCCCTGCAGGTTCAACTCTAGGGCTCGACCTTGGGCCTTCCTGCCTCCCATCCCTGTGACACTTAAGTAACATAGAGTCCAAGCCAGGCTTCCTGGGTCCCGTGCCCCTCAGCCTCCCCAAACTGGGCAGCCTGGGTCCAGGTCCTGACTCCATGAGCCCCTGACTTGGCAGTGGGACACACACCTCCGGAGTCCCAGGCTCTCTCTCCCCTCAGGCGGCTGCTCTGACCCAGAGGTGACTGCTCTGTGGCTCAGGTGACAGGCACCATCCCAGGAGGTGGTGAGAAATGGATCCAATTTGGGGAGATTTATGGGTGAGGGGCCTGGCCTTTTATGTTCTTCTCATCAGCATTGTGGGCACCAGGGCAGCAGGAGGCTCCTGCTGGGTCCAGGTGGCCTCGGTCCTCCCTGCCTTCTCCGGAGCAGTGGCATTAAAGTAGCATGGAGTCCGAGCCAGGCTTCCTACCCACCCCTGCTTCCCTAGTCACCCACACCCCTTGACCACCGAGCGGGGCGTCGAATGGGGTGGGGGAACTCACGAGCTGTGGACGCTGCAGTTGTAGAAGACAAAGCTGGTGCTGGCGAAGGTCATGCCCGTCTCTTTGGACTTGAGCTGCAGCTGTACAACGTGGTGATCCCCTGCGGGCAGAGCCAGCCAAGGGGTGGGTGCAGGGCCCTGGTCAAGCTCCCACTAAGAGGAATGTCCCTGGGGCAGGAGCCTGTTCCCAAAGGGGTGCTCAGCTCCAAGGGGACCCAAGATACCCGAGTAGCTGCAGGGACAGTGCTATGTAGCCTCCCTCCGCAGATGACCCTGTGCGCCTCCCCTATGTGCACGCGCCCACTCGCCCACAGTCATGCAGACAAAACACACATGCACATAAACACATCCATGCACACACACCGTACACTCACATACTCACAAACATACCTGTACGCACTGCTGCAAAGATACACTCACACACACAATACACAGATTCATATGCACACTCACTCCCGCACACCCTCACACAAACACATTTGCATGCATGCAGGCACACACATGTGCATGTGCAGGCAATACCTGCGCCCAGTCGCCCACTCACGCACACATGCAAGCACAATAACTGACACCTCCACTCATGCACTCACATAGGGGCACACTCAAACTCCGAGTGTGTGCTCACACTCATTTTACGCACACACACCTGCATGCATGCGTGTCCACATCATGAATACACAGACACAATCAAGTGCACTCTTTCACGCGCACCCACAGCCGGATGACCCAGGGGTTGGGACAGGAAGAGCTCTGTGGAGTCCCAGTGGCTCTGCCATGCTGCCCCACCTCTACGGACACCCTCCCGCACAGACGCCCCTCCCTGGAATGCCGGTGGGTGGCCTCAGCTGGCGCCACCGTGAGCACTGCAGGCTGAGTTACTTGTGCAGCCCTGACCCTGGCCCTAGGTCCAGCCTGGGCCCCGCCTTCCCCAAGGGTCTCCTTAAGCCACCAGCCTCCAGCACGTGTGGCCAGGTCAGAGGGGAGGGATGACTTGGCGCCCCTCTGCCTGGGCCGGGCCTACCCCAAACTGAGCCTCTGGCAGCCTTCCTTCCTCTGGGGACTCCAGGGGTGGTGGAAGGCAGGGTCTGAGCAGAGGGCTGAGATGCC